CACTAGACTCAGTTGCAGACCATCGCTGGACGAGCGATAAGTGTCCACAAAATGCCACAACTGTTTCGTGTGATTATCAATAATAAAGTCTCTCATTTGGATCAAGTCTTGCGTGGGATTCGCGAACGCATTGGTCTGAGAGCCGGCGGACAGCGAGAGATCACATTTGTTGCCCCAAAGAGACAACTCTATGAATCGCGTGAACTCTGTCTCAATGTCCGTGTCTTTGGTCGCAAACGATGTCCTCATAAACTCTGTCAACACTTCGATGGCATCGATGGACGACTTAAGCGCTTCCTCTTTGGATTCGCTGAACGGATCAAATGTGTTGATATATTGTGTTAATTGAAACGCTTCCCGCACTCGTCGGTAGAGATAACACTCGGCGTACAGCCATGAAGTGGTGAACCATTTGGGTTCGCACCCAAACTCACTCATATGATCACTAAGACATCGGTTCCATATGTGGACGTCCGGTGCGGTGGACACCGACACCAACTCCACGAACGGCTTATCCGTTTGCAATTCGTTGCGGAGTTTAGCCATCCGTCCGATCGAGTCCTTCATCTCCTGTTCGGCGTCTAATCGGTGGTCACTCGACACGACCCCCGACTCGACCAAACTCTTGAGGCGACGACATGTCGTGTCAATGGCTTTGGTTAATATGACGGGCAGTCTGTGGGCGACTGTCTTGTAGGCGAAAGTGTCCTTATCTTTGGCGGAATGCGGTTCCGGTGCTCTTGTCGTCACACTCATCACTGTCTTCATCGATGTCTTCACAATATGAGCACAAATGGTGGTAACAATCGGATCCACTCGTGGTATGAGTGATGATAACAACCACTGATTGTGTCATATGTTGTGAGCAAACGTATGGCTCAACAGATGTCTCTGTGTTTGCATTGAATGCAAAACTCAACACATTTTGCGAAAACCAATCGAAACACAAGTTTTGTGTGAAAAACCAAAACTCAAAACATTTCACACTTTTTGTCACATTTTGTGCCCATTTTTTGTGACCAACTGATTGTCACACCAATTGATCCCAACTGTCATCGCCACTACAATGGCTAGAGTTACCAGAAGTGGCAAAAGTGCCGACAATGCAGAGGTCGTGACGAAGGCAGCGCCGAAGACTGGGACCAAACGCCTGAAGAAGAAAGAGGTGACCAAAACAACTCCGAAGACAACAACTGTGGTTAAGGCTGACACAGATGTGGAGGACGAACGCCATGACAGCCCACACGTGACCCCAACCAAGACGTCCAAAAGGGGTCGAAAGCGCAAGAGTGGGGCCACCGAAGAAGAGCCCGAAAAGGCTGTCAAAAGGCGCGGCCGACCGCCCAACAAACCCAAGACAACGGCCGAGTCTACCATCGGATCCACTGTCACATCAAAGACGTCGAAACCATCATCAGTGGTGACGACGAGTCAGCCGTCGGTCGGTCGCCGGAAGCGCGGCTCAAACCGTACGGACACGAAGTCATTCACTCAACGGTTAGGATACCGACGCCTTTCGGACCACCGATTGGTTTGCGATTTGATTTGAAAATTGATTTAAATTTTTGTTTTTTACGATTAGAGAGAAGAAGGCGTTTTACGAATGTCTTCAGTCAAAGGGCTTGAGTTGTCTCAAGAATGAGGAGCTCCTACTCGAGGTCTTACCCAACCGTACGATCACTGAAATCAAGTAATTATTAACCCATTAATCCACTCAAACACCTATCGATCACTCAATTAATTGTTTTTTGTTTTAATTTTTCCCGATTTTATTATTTATTACTTTTTATTAATATATGATTTTCTTGAATTGATTTACATTTTGCCTTATTTTTCATTTACTCCTAAATATTAGTTTACATTAGAAGTGTCTTTCATTCACTTTTTTGATTAATTGCTTATTTATATCATTAAATTGATTACAAAACTCGTAATAAGAAATCAATTTGACGTATAATACAGTTTAGTTACTTTTTGTTTTATTAAATATTTTGTTGTCTATTCATTCAGAAGTTATTTAATAAATAAGTTTTTGTTTTTTAACACAACGTTCAATGCTATGAGAAATTGATTTTTTGCTTTTGTTTCGTCTCTTTCGTTATCACTTATTATTTGCATTTAAAGCGAATTTAATTAAAATTATAATTAAAACTCAATTACTATTTGTTTTTCACACTTCAGTGCATTCATTGATACCTACAGTCGTAAAGCACAGGAACTGAACCGCCGGAGCGATGAGGCCATGAATGGCGGCTCGAACTCCACTTCAAACAAACAGCCGATCGAGAAGTGGTTTGAATTGATCCATCAGTCCATTCCTAACGCCTCCAAAAAGGACGACATATCCGCCATTTTGATCGATATCTTCGGCGATATTAAAATTGAGGACAAAGAGCCTAAAAGTGAGATCAAATCGGAAGTGAATCCAGACTTGATCCCAGATTTCAAGCAAATCTATGGCTGTATTAAAGACGCTTTGGATGGCGAGTATGCGCCGCCATTGCGACCAATGGACGCCTTCGTTATGGTTAACCTCATTGAAGAACTCAAAGACCTCCTCAGGAGTGACGACTATAGCAAAGAGACGGATTATTTGGCATCAGGCAAGTGGTGGTCCAACAAGAAGTCCGCCGAAGACATGTTCAGCGATATATTCACGCGACGACAGCAACAAAATGCCGCCGAAAACGGTGATACCGGTGNAAATTTATTTCAAACCCTTAAAACTTTTAGTTATCATAATAATCGATAATTTAATTTAGATTATTATCTCTGAATAATTAATAGCAGTTTTGAGAAAATGCTGAATAATATAACAATTATTTAAAATAGGAATTCGGAATAATTTCCTTAACATTATTTTGCAATTACAGTGAAATCATACAAAGTGTTTTGTTTTAACTGGAAATCAAATGCAAATGTAATAAAAATGAAACCATTTTTCGCTGTTATATAACATTAAAAATCTAATTTAATTTTCGAGAGAGAGAGAGAGAGAGAGAGAGAGAGAGAGAGAGAACTAAAATAATAAATCTTAAGTAAGTTTTTTGTCTGTAATTTATTTATTAGTTTTCTTTACTTTCTATAACCACAACAAAGTGAGTGAAAAAAGCCTTAAACCGTTTGGCGTTAGTAATAAAAAAGCCGTTTCTCTGAATGACAATGAATTGAATTGTTTTGTTTGAATAGTTTTTATATAACAATATTATTTGCTTTCGAAACCCATAAGAAATGCTTAACTTACAGAAAACACGTAAAACAACATTTTATACTTTTAAATATATTCTTGTTTATTATGAATTCAGTTTATTTTCTTATGAAATGCGTTACAAATAAATATTTGAGATAAGCTTACGATATATTTATTTATTATGTAAGCGTTGGGTCACGTAATTAGAACAGAGACGTGAAGCTAAATATATGTCCAAAATATTATGCCTTTTCTTATGGTCTTATGTCTTATGCTTATATCAATACATAAGACATGTATTTGTTTAGACATTTAGAGCAATCATTTGTGACAATACACTCAAGTTTTGGTTCATTTTTCATACCAATTCATAACAAATACCTACGAATTCAGGTTTCTTTCAACAATCTCTCTCTCTCTCTCTCCCTCTCTCTCCCTCTCTCTCTCTCTCTCTCTCTTCTCTCTCTCTCTCTCCCCATAAGTTCGAGTCGAGCATTAATTTCATGTTTTGAGAAATTAGTTTAAATTATAATATAATCAGAAAAATGTTTTTCTCATTTGTTTCCAACTCTCCGGTGTTTTACTTCTCATTCTTGTGTTGCAATCACTTAATGAATAAATTTTTTTATTCCCATTCTCTCTATGTTTGTGTTGAACTTAAACGAAAAAAATTTGTATCACTTTTTTAATTACTATTCAATCAAATGAAATGAGAAAACATGCATTTATGAGCCCATCATATATTTATCACAATTTTCTTTTATATTCATTACAATTAAGGCTTTAAAACTTTTTATGCGTTTGACATAGAATTTGAATATTATTTGAAATTTAAATCTCCTTTTTCTCCCAAAACTAATTTCTAATGTGAACCCTAACTCCAACTCTCATTGACTTTTACTTTTCATGTAGTGATTGATTCATTATTATAGACACTACATGTAAGCCATACTTTTTGACCATAATTTAGATTATGATTCTGTATAACAAATAATAATTGTTTTGCAATTTTTTTAATTTCTAGTCTACGCCCGACATATCCACTCACTCCTTAACCACTCACTCCTCTAACACTCGCTTTACATAATGTCTTCAATAGATATAATCAATTCACTCACAAAACACTTATTGTCAGTCATTCAAAAAAAAATATGCACAAAATATGAGTGCAATTGGAGCCCACTTTCAACATTATTCAAATCAGATTAGATGTATTCAAATACCCATTGAAAATCACTTAAGAGGTCTGAGCGCCGTATGAATACATTAATCCCTTTTTGAATTAAACCACTTTTTTGGGCTCTAATAGTCATAAATAATATTTAAATTCCATTTCCTTTGGCTTTAATAACTAAATGAATGGAAAATGTGTTTTAGTTGCTCCATAACTGTATAACTTAGTGCCTGTCCTTAAGGTGTTTCCAATTACCGTATATTTTATTGTTATTATTATTAATATTAGGAAAATTATAACGTTAAGTGAAAATATATTTATTGTTTTCATTATAAATATAGTATAAAAATGTTATTATCAAAAAGAAAAGCGAAATTTTATTTTATTATTCTTTTGTATAAAACAATTGTATGTTTCAAAAGAGAAAGTTTTTGGTGAAAAATAATGACTTATTATAAGCTATTATTCTTAATACGAAAATTTGTTTTCGGTTTCTCCACAGTATGTATGCGCTGGCAGTGTATCTCTCGGCTCACAAAACGGTCGCACTTTTAATTTATTTAATTAACAAAAAACAAATTTATATGAAAACACAAACGAAAAAGTTTTTTGTTTCCTAATTCAAGGTTAGAATTAGAGAAAAAGATTTTCAAATATAACGGTGAGAGTAATGCAGAGAAAATAAAATAGTTTTCTTACTTTTACTTTAATTCTCTCTCACTTTGAATACAATCATATAATACAACACACGGACTCTCAACACAAACACACACTAAAAGTCTCGTAAGGATTTCCACATTGACCTCAATTTAATGTCAAACACTTTATGAGAAGTGAATGTGTAATAAAAGTTTTCTAATGGTGTGAATGGATAGTGAAGTGCCGTCTGAATAGACTTCACTTCACTCTCATATTCCTATTCTTTGGGAATAATTGTGTTATTTATTGCAAATTACAAATCGATTACATCTTTTGATTGCTTCTGAAATACGAGTTTTGCTGCCAAACTGCCGTCTGAATAGACTTCACTTCACTCTCATATTCCTATTCTTTGGGAATAATTGTGTTATTTATTGCAAATTACAAATCGATTACATCTTTTGATTGCTTCTGAAATACGAGTTTTGCTGCCAAACAAAAATATATTGTGCACCGAAAGCAAACGGCTGACCCTATTTGCAACGAGAGCACAGACACCACTTACCACTAAACGGTCTTAAAATTTATAAATAAGATTTTCGTTTCAAATATTTAAAGCAAATATAAGACATTTAAAAGAAAGAAGAAAATTCTGCGAAGAAATGAGTTCTCAATAAATGAGAAGTCGAAGAGAAGTGACTATTTAATAGGAAAGCCGTAAAACAGCGATGGAAAGGGAGATCAGAGACTCTGAAGGAGGACTTTGACAGACTATTTAGTCGAATAAGAAGTGTAAACATCTCTTAATATGAAAAGTATTTCTGATACTAATATAAATACAGAGCTTTTTTGCATTATATAAACCTTGAAGGATGGATAGCCAGCGAATTGAGTGCTGCAATGCCTTAAGGGATGGGTCAGGCCGAGGGTGGGTCGACATATATAACACTATAACTACATTTGCCAGAACCAGGAAAAATCCACTTCTATTTTATGGCCCAAAACATAATACAGAGAGAAGTTTTCTCTCCGTTATATCGAATAGTGTTTTAATACTCGGAGAAAACAAAACCAACAAAAAAGAGAACATATTTTTATAGTAAAACTTTTCTCCAGTTCTCGCTACTAATCACGGCGTTAGCCCTCAAGAAGTGATTAAGAAATTAAAAAATATATATTTATTAATAGATTCGTATAAATCCGTAAATATATTAGAGATTATCGATCGACAGGAAAAACTCGATTTTGATTCCGATTTGATTTGTCGCTCAGATATCGATCCCTTTGGATATTCAGTGAGAATACAGTTTTTTGATCTTTCGTTGTGTTTCTATGAATAAAGACTTCCTATTCGAGTGATTCGAGTGACTCTTAAACCAGTGATTATTAATAATAATTAATAAAAAGTTGTTTAAAAAGTTTCTCATTCCTTGACTTCCGAGTAAGTGTTGCGACAAATGCTTTCGTATAAGCGTTGATCGCATTCTTTAAAAACTTTTTTCTTTTTATTTCATTGAATCATCGCTTAGTCGTCCACAAGAAGTACACACAATGAGAGTCTTGTGTGCAATAACGGCGCTCTTGAGTGCTCTCACTCTCACGTCATCCCAATTCACATACATTTTCGAAGTACAGGACGAGAACCGCGGCCCGAGTTCTGAACTGTTCGGCGATTTATCGCAGTTTAAGTTCGTCCCGCCGTCACAACTGCCCAAAAACCCGGTGCCCGCCCGACCCCTACCCGCACCTCAACCGCAAGAACCTCAGCCATCCATTTCCCGACGTCAGGACCCGTTTGAGGAGCAGCCGCGACGGAGTCGACTGAGTGGTGCGGCACAGAATCCAAGACAATTCGTGGTCAGAGCGCCTCCGCAGGAAAATCGGCAGGCGTTGCTGAGACAGGAGCTCAACCAGATTCAACCCCAGCAGCTACAGCCCGCACCACTTCCAGCCCCTCAAGTCCAATATCAGGCACAACCGCAGACAGCTGTTCCAGTGTCACAACCGGCGCCACAAAACTTTCCACCCCTACAGCCCCATCAAACGGCGCATTTAAATCCCGTCCTCAGGACTATTGTCCCCCGAGCACAGGCAGCACCCGCTGCGGCACCGGCCCCACAACAGGACTCCAGCTTCGAGTTACTCCAGAACTTTGTAAGATCTCAGTCACAGCCCAACCCATTCCGTCCCAATGCAGCCCTTCAAACATTAGCGCAAAGTCCGCGGTTTAACCCTCAGTCCCAACCACAGCCACAGTCACAACCTCTCCCTCAGCCACAGCCCCAACAGTTCAGACCCGGACCCAGTGTTCAGTTGGGCGCCACTTCCTCAGGATTACCCACTCTTAACATCAATAACAAGGACAGTCTCACTGAAGACGATTTGCGAGCCATTGAGGAGCACAACCGAAGGGTTCAGGCGTTCCTCCGACAGCGACAACAGCAACAACAGGGCGCTGGCAGAGCACCCCAACCACAGGCGCCCGCAGTTAGGGCACCGGCTGTCGACCAAAACACTTTGAACGAGCGATTGGCCGCACAGAGGGCTCAACTCCAGCAACAAAACGCACAACAAGAGAGAGCTTTGCGGGAGAGGGAGCACAGGGAACGGGTGGAAAGGGAGAGACTTTTACAGCTCCAGATCTCGCAAATGCTTAGACCCGAGACGAGAGCACAGGTCGCACCGCAACTCCAGTCCCTGCCATACCTTAGACCACAACCGCAACAGTTTGCACCAGAACTACAGGCAGGCGTTGAATACGTGCCGCAACCAAATCAACTCAATAACCAACCGGAGGAACGCCGTCAACCATTAGAAAGACAGCCTGAGATCCGTCCCGTTCCTGTCAGCTATAATAACGTGAGAGTTCCCGACAATACGAGAAGGAGAGTGCCGGCCACTACACCCGCCCCACGAAACTATGCCATTCCCAGGACTACACCGGCGCCGCAACAACAGCCCAGTCCCCAAAACTCAAGACCCGCCAATTTAGGTCTGGCCGCACTTCCAACCGACACCGGTATGTCATTGTCTTTAATGTTAAGTTTCTACTATAATAAGTAATTTTTAAAAATGTGCTAAAAATAATGATTCAGATGCCGACGGAATTCCCGGGGAAGCCGGTAGAGACTACCCGACCCTCGAGACTATCCCAAAGACTTCATTCTCGTGCGCTCGTCAGCCACTCAGCGGTAAACAAGACATAAATATATTGATGTAAACCCCATATTGAGAGCAAATGGTATAATGGTGTGACCCATAGGTTACTACGCGGACACGGAGGCGGCCTGTCAAGTGGTCCATTTGTGCCAATTCGGTGGCGTTCAGGACTCGTTCCTGTGTCCCAACGGAACCATTTGGAATCAGGAAAAGTTTTCGTGCCAGTGGTGGTATGAGGTAGGCGCTCAACAGCACCTGTATATCCACTCATATACAGACTATTTCATATATTTGTTGACTTACGATCATTAGCTTCACAAACAAATTCTTATCGTTTACTTTTTCAAGGATTTATGCCTAATGTTAGACCAAAAAGCAATTTATAACTTATATAATAATCAATATGTTTGTCGGTGGAAAAATTAATTTAAAAATTTCTTTTTGTTTATTTGTTTTTTTAATAAATATTTTTCTCGTATTTTGTAATTACAGGTCAGTTGTGCGAATGCCCCGCGATTTTACGCTCTCAACCAAGACTTGTATAAACTGCCAGAAAAAGACGATAAACTCAATGATAATAACAACAATAATAATAAGAAATAATGTTTTTTAATAAACAATTTTAGAGCTGAAATAATATCATATTTTTCAAGAGTTATATAATAATTATTGTTTTCCTATAACTAGTAATAATGCATTTCATTTATTTGTTTTCCGTTTGTTTGCCTAACATATTGTGAATGTGAATCAATGCATAAAATCATTACTCATTAAAGTTATGAACATTATATTCGTAAGCATTTTATAGCCAATTATTTTTTCCTTTCATAGGGTATCACATGAATTCTTATAAGCATTTTAATGTCCTTTTATTCCCTTTTGTTTGGAATTTAATTCTTGTAAATTGTACTCAAAAAATGATTTTTCAAAATTCATAGCCGCGTCAATGGATAGCAATAAAAATAATTATATTATTTTTCAAAGAATAATGTTTTATATTTTAAATAAACTATAAATCAAATGTGAAAATGTTTTTTCTACTGAAAAAATCTATTTATCACACATTGAAATGGATATTACAATATTGTAATTCAAACGTCTCTCACGTTTTTTGTTTCATTTAAACCTGAATTTAAAGATTAAAAAAGTGTTGTTTTGGATCGAAATATACAATAATTATTATTCCCTTTTTAATGGCCATAACTTATTATTCATATTATAATGCGAATGTAATATAAAGTCTTGGAAAATTATTAAGACACTGTTTTCATACAAATATAATAATAAATATTTAAAAATTCAATTTGTAAAAACATTTTTGGCTGATTATATAGTTTTAAATTTTTTTTATAGTGTATGTTTGCCATACACTTTAAAAATGACTTTAAAATCTCGCTTTTCACTGGAATTTAGTTTAACTGCTTATTAAATAAAATGCGAAAAAATTTAATTTGGTTTTAGATTTTGTTTTATTGTAATTTTGTTTTATTTTCTTGTTTAACATTGTAATTATGTTTCGACTTTAATTAGTAATTTAATTGCACTTAAAATAAAATTGCATTTATTTTATCCAAAAATCCTTCGCCGGGCAAAATCTTCTGCATATATAATGGCATTAATCACATCATAATTGGATAATTGATATGAAAATCCTTATCTCCCTATTCATAGTGAATACACAAATGAATAGTTTTGTTGGATTGGTATCAAAGTTATTGAAAACACAGACACTTATTATTTAATTAATTTCTACAAGAATTTTAATTTATTGTTTTAAAACTCATAAATTAGGAAATAATACAAATTGTTTATTACATCTCTCTCTCTCTCTCTCTCTTTCTCTCTCTCCTTAATAATCAATTATTAAAACGAATAATGAATTAAATATTGTTTTTAGGAATGAAAGTAATAATTTATAAAAAATTTCTATTAAAAAATTGTTTCTATCGTGTGTTTAATGATCTAATGATTCAGTCATCGACCAAAAGAAATATTTATAAAACATAAACAAAATATAAATTATTTAAATTTGATTGAGTTTTTATCCTTAAAAATGTTTGTGTAAATTACAGGTAATATTGAGTTCATTAATACTTATTTGGCGTTATATTTAAATCAACTCTACTTTAAGTCTAGTATTAATTAATTTTATTTTTATCAATTTTCATATCCCAAATAAGTCATAAAATTGTTTTATTCATTTTAAATCTATGTATATTTTTAGAAATCATTTTATATTAATGGGTGATTAAATTTAACTATGATAAAACAAACTAGTGATTTATTTATAATTGTTAACAAATTATAATTAAAATAAAGTATTTAGTTTATTTTTATTCTAAAGGATTGTATTTAATAAGTATATTGTACTGTATTATTTTATATTATAAAAAAATTTTACTAAATAATATACTGTATAATTTATAAAGTAATTATCTATAGATTTACAAATTAATTAAAACTGTATTAATAGATCATATAAAATGTAAATATTTTATAAAATAATTATAAAATGCATTGCAAATGCAAATAAACTAATTTTCATAATCTTGTTGTTCATCAACCTCTTCAGTCTGATCCGAATCTCCATTATAATTATCACTCACTAATTGCCTCACATTCTGACCATTATGTGGGTTGTGTTGCACACCACCAAAGCCTTGATGTCTATTTATCTCACCAATCACTTCATCTGCACTTTTAATGGGCAAAGAGGGGACTATTGGTGGCAAACGACTTACAAACTTAGGTCTATCCACAAGTCTATCGGAATTGATATTCTTGTGGTCAACAAAACCGATCGAAACTTCTTTGGGACGTTCAGTGGTTCTCTCTTTTGGTTTATATAAATCAGAGTTTAATGAATAATATTTCGACGATTCCTTACACGTCGTGTTAAACCTAGTAATTCAGTGAACATATGAATGACAGTGGAAATGATGGCAAATGGGATCAATTGCTTACCACCAGTTGCAGGTGAAGAGTCTCTGATTAAATACGGTTCCGTTGCCGCATAGGAATGATGTCTTGTGAGTGTTGAGACACAAGTGGAAGGACTGACACTCGGCCTCCATATCCGCATAAAAGCCTTTAATTAAATTAATTTTTAAATATCATATTCGCAACAAATTATTTATACAAACCATTGATTTTTCCATTGCATGTAAAAGAGGTTTTAGGAACTGAGCTGTAAATGGGATAATCTTTGCCACCCATACCCTGGATATTATCATTATCGGTGTCCAGGTCTGCATCTATTGGTTTAGGCCATTGAACTGATGTTATTTTTTGTTCAAATGTTACTTCAATTAATGAAAAACAAATGATTAACACTATATTTGTACAAAGAAATAAAAAATTACTGTTAAAAGAGTTCATTATATTTGAGTTGATTTAGCATTTATACAGAAATTGTCAAAAACTTTCAATTATTTATAGGAAATATGAGTGAAATGCTTGTAATATCCTAAGTCATGATGAGATTACTGACACTTATTAAAGGATTATTTCCTATATTTAAAACTAAATCTTAACAAAAGTTATTACAAATAATTAACTTTAAATAGTTTGCAGCTATTTGTGCGAATTCTGCGTGACTTAACATTTAAGTGATGCTCAAAATATTTTCTTTATTAAATGTTGACTAAAATAAAATTTCGATAACTATTCACTTACTTTTATATTTATTTTCGTATATAAATTAATTGTTTTTAATATAAATGACATATAAATCATATAAATTACGGTAATAGTATTGATTTGCGAGGTGTGAAAGTACTGAACCGACAACTTTCGAATAAACTTGGTCACAAATTAATATTAACCTGGAAAAGTTAACAGTAAAAGTTTACACATAAGTATAAATATTTTTTTTAAAAATCTTGGGTAAACTCTGTAAGACATTAATTAATGTTACGTATCATAAGTTCTCATGTACCCTAATATGTACGGTATTATAAAATATATACGGTACTGTATATAAATGGATTGACTTTTATTATTAAATTTTAATAAATGACTTTAAATACAGTATGCTTTACAAATGATTTTCAAATAAATAAATTTATTAAAAAACAATTTCTAATTAAACTACTCATTGATTGCTTCGACTTTGAAATGAAGTCCGGGTTTAGAGCCGACCGGCAGTTGAGATACGAATGCTTTGGGCTTTGAATGACTGGAACTCATATATCCGCAGCACATGGAGTGAGTGCTGTGTCCCCACAGCAACTCTGTGTGAGCCGAGTCCTTGTCGTGATAGAGGGCCAGTACACCGGCCAGTCTGTCCTCTGCAGCAATATTCTCAAGTAATGGTGAATCTGTACAATGGGTGCAAACCATATCAATAGGCATTGCCTACAGAGACCACACACTCACCAATAAAGCCCTCTTTGAACGCTTTGCTCAAAGCATTCAAATTGTTTGCATCGCTTGTGTCGAGCAACTGATTGGCGCACTCTTTGGCGAACATTGTTTTGGTTAAGTACTCGCCCGCACCGGTAGTCGCGATTGCCATACACTTCTGCGCCCATACGCCACATCCCATCAACGCTGCCTTCGTAGCAAATAAATCAATAAAAACAATGACCGCTAATACAGATTCAATGCCATACCTGTCCTATTCTCCCAGAAGGCTTCAGATGAATGCCGCCACTGGACGCACCGGCAGCCACATTGCCCTCCCAGTCCACACATATGGCGCCCACTGTATCCAAACGTCTTTGTTTCACTGAAAACCCATCGCTTTTGTCGTTTACTTCGGACTCCAGAAGTCGTTTATATTTACAATACGTTTGTTTAGATCTCTCTTAAGAAATAATTTTTACGATCAAAACACTTGACACCAAATACTCCCAAATTACCGGTCATTAGATCAGACGCCACACACCCGACACACCCATTGCTGAGGGCGTAATCCCGGGCCCCCTCTCCCACCAGAAGGTTGGGTGCAATGAGACCGCAGGGCTGTTGTCTGGTCTGACTCGTGAGTACACATTCGGCAGCTTTTATGGGATTCTTAATGCCCTGAAGAGCGCCGACAGCCCCCCAATCGAGGGAACGGCCGTCCATTAGACTGGCGTCACATTCAACACATCCATTCAGATTGAGATTAGATC